ACTAGGGACGGTTTAGCTCAAAACGCTAAGACCTAACCTACCGGATGGAAAGTATGGATTGTAAAATATTGAATCCATTAATGTGTTTAAGTTGAATCAACTGACTAGGTTAAATGACTCCCTGGATTAATTGGTTGTGGTTAAGTCACTTCAACTGAATAAGTTGAGTGATTATCTAGACGGTATTTTGTATGTCTCCTCATTGAATAAGTGAATGACATACTATGGTTTCGGACGGACTTTAGATATATGATTATTGTACCACGATATGAGCGTAAGTCTCAGAGTCGTTGGTTAGGGTGCGTATATGCAATGGATGCGTAGCTGGATTTAGTAAGTAGGTGTACCTTGTTAGGTCTAGGTACTCATGCCCACCTTTGGGTGTGTTTTCGCATGTTGCCTTCTATTCAGGTTGAGACCTTTACTATAGTCCAGTGAATGTCTTTAGTGTGGATATATATGTATATTTATGGATTACGTAGTTATGTTGAGGGTATCTAGGGTGAATCTGCGTATCAGGCATGTATGGATTACAGTTGGATTAGGACTTGAATGTGGGCCTGACCCACTTCTTTATTATTCTTTTCAGGTAACGGACGGTTCCAGTCTCAAGCTTGATCGTGCTAAGCAGGGACTCTCATTCATTCTACCGACGATGTAGGATTTCACTTTATGATTTAGTTTTGGAATATCTTTACTTTTAGTTTTTCAGGTTTCAGTTGGAGTTTTATTTCGGGGTCCACGAGTTGGATTCCCAAGTTGTAACCTTGGAGGTTTTTGAGCTGGATTATTGAATCTTTATTATTTGAGGATTTTATTTTAGTTTCTATCAGCTTAAACTTCATTTCTTATTTCGGTTTGTATTCTGTGTTCATTATAAAATATTAATTGTTTGATATCTCTCGGGTTTGGGCTAAGGCCTGATCAACCCGTGTCTCGGATCTGAGGAGTATCATAATATCTACCAAACTGAAAGCCTTCTTTAGCAAATAAGTGGGCCCAAAGTGAGCACCCAGATATTTCATGCTTAACGCTTCCTTGCAATCCCCCATTCGCAACATTTTTACGGAAGAGAGCATACATGGGACGCGCCCTCTCTCTCTAAGATTCAGTTCTCTCTAGAAATGGCTAAAGACGTGTTTCGAGAAGGGGGTGGAGATTGATCCTACAATGTCATCATTCAAAAAAAAAAAAAAAAAAAAAAGAAGAAGAAGAAGGAATTGTGGTTCAGAATCAAATCGAACCCGTCTTTTCACATATCAGATATATACGGTTTCACATGTTAATGATTTCAATTCCAATTTCAATTTTTATAAGAACTGTTAAGAATATAGTCAACATTTACCAAGGTTTTAAATTTTTATATGAATTTTCCTCCAAATAAGAAACATGCATCATTTGGAGTAGTGAGCTCTTGAGAATGGGAATAATTATAAGGGTATTTTCACTCAAATTTGTAGATAAAAGTGAAAAAATAAATACTGTAAAAAATTTGTGTTACACTATTTCATAGTTTGGGGTGTCTCATATTGAGGCCTAGTTTGTTACGCATGAAATTGGGAATGGAATTAGAATGAGAATGAGAATGGGAATAGAATTGAGTAGTCATTCTCACTTTTATTATTATTATTATTATTACTATTATTATTATTTGTAAGTTCTTATGCTTTGTTACAAATATGAAATGCTATTCACCATTTTAAGTGATAGTAGTGAAAGACGATGGCGGTTGAAGGTTGTGGCAGTGGTGAAAGGTTGTAGAAAGCCGTGGTGGAAGGCGGTGGAGGTGGTGGAAGGTAATAGTGGTTGCGAAAGGTGGTGGTGATGGCAACAATGGCGGTGGTGGTGGAAAGCATTGGCAATAGTGGTGGTCAATAATTTCATTCGTTGGAATGAATTTTTTTTTCCATTGGTTTAGATGTAAAATGAATTTTCATTCCAAATGAATGGTCATTCTCACTTTAAATATCATACCAAACAAGAAAATGGTTGGAATGAAATACCTATTTCAAACTAGGCATACTTTTAACATGTTTTTAACTTGCTCTTTTTAGTAAAATTTGCTTTTAAGAAAAAATAATATTAAATTTTTTTAACTCCTTTATTTTCCAACCTTTTACACAAATTAATTTCAATAATTGGGAGAGGAAAATTTTTAATACGGTCGGCCGTCTTTGCACCCACTAATTAAACATGGTATCACATTGTATCACTCACTAATTAAGCATGGTATCACTCCCTCTCTCTCTCTCTCTATATATATATATTTTAACCTAGTAAGAAAACAGTCATACGGCATTTACAAGGCAAGAATATGGAACCATATCAAAACATATAAACAAATTCAGTGCCACAAAACACAACACTATCCAAAACTAACACTCCCAAATGTCAAGATATCATTCTTGACAATAACTGATATTGGGAGTGTTAGTATCCACAAGCAGAGCACTAGATTTTCCAGAATACTCAAAATTTGGACCCACCAAAGCACATAAAGATCTCTTATCAAATGACACCGCCTCACACAAATCGCAAAACACTCATGTCCATGGCCCACTAAAGGCAGAAGAAAACTTCCAGAGTAAACTTCCATGACATCAGCCATAACGTCATGGCTTCCCTAGCCGAAGAAGTAAAAGCCGAACCCGTCGCCGAGCCACTGACAATCACAAACCGGTAAACACCATGATCATGTCCCCAGCGAATGGAGCCGAATCACCGACCATGCCACGGACTGCTTAAACTTAATCCCATAACGAGAAAACACCAGCAGCAACATCCAATTTTGAATACCCAACAGAAAAGGTGTACCCCAAATTTATTCACCATGGCCAACAAATCAAAGAGCTGATCATCCCACGAGGATAACCTAGATTCTCCGGCAACTAAGAAGTAGGAGAAATTAATTTCGCCGACCAAGCTCGAAACGTTGAAGCCTTCACTCGGAAAGATAAGGGAGGCAAACCAAGAAATCCGAAAGGTAAAACACACCAAGATAAAATTAACACTAACATAAAAACACAAAAACTTATAGCAATACCCAAATCGAAAGGAAAATTTTGCATTGATTGGTCATCAATTCTTCCAAAACGTAGAACCCCCCGGCTTTACATCTCGCTGCGCACTTTTGTCGTTCTGGCAAGGAGAGAAAGGAATACCCAAGATCACCAGAGAGGAAACCATCAGAAACAAAAGAACTATGACAGAAGCATACCAAATGAAATGATTTACAAGCGTATTAGAGACAAGGAAAGATAAGGAAAGGAGAAAAAAAAGCGGACGAAGAGGAAATCCAAAGAAATCACTCCGACAAGAGCAGAATCGCTTAAGAAAAGAGCAACCCCCTATGCAAAGGGGAACATGGTATCACTCTCTAATTAAGCATCTAAAATAGGAGAAGGTATTGGGTACGCCCGATACACCGTGCATTGGGCCTATTCGAGCTGATGCACCGTGCACCGGCCCATCCGAGTCATACGTGTTGTACACACAAGTGCGCATGTTGTGCATGTACGGTTTGAATGAACCAGTGCACTGTGCACCCCGCACACGTAAGGGTTCGTTTGGTTAGCAAGAAGCAGCAAGAAAGGAAAAGAAAGAGAAAATTTTAATTTTTTTAGTAGTTTGGTTAGATAGAAAGTGAAAATTTTGGGGAATGTAAATTTCCCATATCTGAAAATTTTCCTCAAATTTTTTAGCACACGAAAATCTACTTTCTCGCAAAGGTTGTGCACTTTATTTCTTGTTTTTCCTATTATGCTCATATTTGTTGTCTAAACTAGATAGACTTCATTGAAAAGGAAAAGTTTCCTTGTTCTGTAAATTACTTAATTTGTCTATTACTAATTTAATTGTTTGTAATTTTATGTGTGTTTGTAAAATTAATTTAATTTTTCTTGCAATTGCTTAATTTTTCGCAATTGGTGACACTACTATCTCATAAACCATGTCATCTTAAGACAACATACAATAATAATACATACATATATGTATATATTAGCTAAAGTCCTACTGTGTTCCACTCATTGAGATACGTCCAATGACTCAAGATTTTACTAAAAATAGAACAAAGTTGGCATAATTTCTTCGTAGTAATAATAATCAATATTTTTTGATATACACAAGTTAAATTAGTCAATTATATTGGTACTTACTCAACTTTTAAAGTGTAAAAATTCGAGGGTTCCAGTCCTTGTAAAAAAATACAAAAAGTTATATACGATATCACATATTATTTTATTTCATATTTCACTATTTGCTTACTAAAATAAATAATTAAGTATAAAGAATATTAGTCTAACTCAAATTTATTTATTTTATTACTATTTATAATTATAAGGGTATTTTTGATAAGTAGAATCATTTTCTTTTCTTTTTCATGCTATCCAAACTAACAAAATAACATTTTTCCACAACTTTCTTCAAAAAATTTCTTACTAACTAAATGCACTGATGGAAACTTGATTTTCCTTTCTTTCACTTCACTTTCACTTTCCATTAAATTTCCCGTCTAACTAAACGAATACTAATATTATTCGAGAAATTATTAGATGACCCTAAACCATTTGATACTTTGTGGACCAATTCAATCCAGACCGTTGATTAGATTTCTTTGTAGTATATTACAGTAATGTGAGATCATTTTTTCAATCAAATAGTTTAAATTGAATTGGTCCACTAGGCAAACCTCCTAACGGTCTTTACACCCCTATGTCTTTCTTTATCATTGAGCGGTCAGCTATCTTTGCACCCCTACCTCTTTCTTTATCATTGAACAATCATTTATGAGTCTTAACTAGTGACTTGAGTATCAAATTCTTTCTGATAAGAAATTATTACATGATCTGAGACTACATAATTTAGACAACGGAAGACATTCATAAATGGTCGGGGTGTCGGTGTTTATTTGCCAATAAATAAATTTGAAATTACATATTTACCCCTTCTTAAAAAAATTAAAAAATGTGTACGTTATGGAGAGAGATGATATTGCCATTATATAAAACGACGGAGTTTTCTGTAATGGCAACATTCCCCCCACCTATGGTTTTACGATCTTATTCCACTCACAGCTCACGGTTCCACCGACCACCGTTTCGTTCAAGGTTCCGCTAACCACTGTTTTGTCGGGTTTTATCTCCGACCGTCGGAAAACGCAACAGTGAGCTACTGGGTGTGTTGACACTGTTTTTGGGTTTGGGTTTTACTAATTTGTTGCTTGTTTGGTGAAATATTGGGTTAGGTCACACTCGCAGTTTAATTTTACTCCCACACTTGGTTGCAAAACCATCCAAATATTGTTTGCTTGGTTTTTCGAATTCTGAGTTTTTGTTTTCTATATTGTGTGGTTTATGATTTAAATTCTGTGTGGTACTGAAAGTGTGGCATTTGTTTATGTAATTGTATTTTGGATTCCTCCATTTGTACTGGAAAATCAATTATTATTATTTGTGTTTTTATTTGTTTATTTATTTATTTTGATGAAAGAGAGAATCTTGTCTACTTTGAGTAAGTTTATTTATTTATTTATTTATTTATTTTATTATTTGTTTATTTATTTATTTTGATGAAAGAGAGAATCTTGTCTACTTTGAGTAAGGTGGTTTTATTTATTTATTTATTTATTTTATTTTATTTTTTTTATCTCAATTTATTGGAAATAGTTTTGTTAGTACTTTATTTATTTATTTTCTCTTTTTTCCTTTCTGCATAGGTGACAATGGTGGTTGACATGAAATATCCATTAATCTTGTTAGAATTGATTGATTATTTATAATATCTTGACATTTATATATATATATATATATATATATATATATGTACATAGTGAGTGGTTTGGCTATTCATTTTATCTTTTAATGCATAGGTTGAATTAATGGTGGCCATTGGAATCTACAAACACAAGTACACGATTAATGCTACAATTTACAAACAAGAAAAGAGAGGCCACAACTGAGAATCACTAAGATAAACATCCCAGAGGAGAGGGACTATTCTTATCCATTACCTATAAGAATAGTCCTTGTTGGATATTATTTATTGGAGTCGCTTAAAGAATCGATTGTTGTTTATAGCTTTACTCCACCTGCATATGCATATGTAGAAGAGTAGGGTTGGGTTGACTAACTGAAGCTGGTGTTTTCTAACTTGTACAAGAGTACTCTTACCTCATGGATCGCTTGAGCAATCTTCCATGTGTTATTGTTCAAGAAATACTTTCCTTTCTTTCCCTGGAAGACATTGCTCGTACGAGTCTGGTCTCCAAAAGATTTAAATATCTGTGCTCGTGCATGCCAGACTTGTACATACGTCCTGTAAACAGTTCGAATCAGCAACATCTCTGTGATTGGATAGACAAGTTCCTCATCTTGCGCAATGGGGCCAAAATCCAACGTTTCCATATACTATTGTGGATAGAAGATTTTCGATTTCATCTCAAAAGATGGATTCACAGTGCAGTATTATGTAATGTCGAAGAATTCGATCTATCGTTCCATAAAAAAATCTCTCTACCACTATGCATTTTCGCTTGTGCATCCTTAAAAGTGCTTAAATTGAACTTGGAATTTGGGGTGCTCAAATTATTATCAGCTTCTTCTTATAGCTTCAATTCGCTTCAGGTTTTGTCTATAACAAGAGTAAAATTTACTGAGGAATTGTCCGAGGATTGGATTTCATCTCTATTTCCCTCTCTTAAAAAGTTAAATCTTGGCTATTTTGAGGGTGTGATGAAGCATCTGAAGATCACAAGTTCATCTCTTGAATGTTTAAGCATTACATGCTCAGAGTTTGTGGGAATCAGTGTGGTGACCGAGAGACTCCGGAAGTTATACGTAAGATGGTACAAGGTTCTTCCTGTGGTGCGAAACAATAGAGTCTCATCATATCTGAGGTTGTCATTTAGGCTCTATGCACCCAACCTTGAAGAATTCACGTGGAGAGGACAATTATATGCAAACTACTGCTTCCAAGGGAGCTTTATGTGTATTGATGATACAACTAATTATATTGTAGTTCCTACTGATTCCAAGTGCTATTTATTTCAGCTTCTTCGGTTTGTCACCCAAGCCAGATCACTAAAACTAGTTGGCTGGGTTCTTGAGGTATGTACTTACTGATCATGCAATTAATTGATATTTTTTGGGTATTTCTGTTGATAATCTTTTTAGAAATATATATGTATATAGTTAAAATCTCATTATTTTGATTTATCGTCACTTGAGCAATGTGTATGTATTGAATGGTTCGTGTATCAACAAATGAGATGTTTTAACGCTCATTCGCACTTGGACTTTTGATAAATCACCTACTTTTAGGATGAACCGTTTTTTACCCAAATTCATGGAACATGAATTTTCTTAATCGATGTATTTTGAGAATTGACATGTATGAAACTTGCTTGAGGGTTCAATAAAAGGACCATACCTTACTCTAGAAAGGATTAAGATCAGTCTCAATTAAAGCTCAAGTTTTATTCATTGTCTTGGAACATGAATTTTCTTAATTGATGTATTTTGAGAATTGACATGTATGAAACTCGCTTGAGGGTTCAATAAAAGGACCATACCTTACTCTAGTAAGGATTAAGATCAATCTCGATTAAAGCTCAACTTTTATCAACTCAAATTCACTATCGTTGAATCAAGTTCAGGCTTGGTCGAATCCCAAAGATAGAGTTGTCAATATTGGACCTTGTGCTTAAAGAAGCAATATATGGTCCGAATTCTGAAAACTTTATTTCTAGTCATATTTATACGTGCGTATCTCGGAGATAGAGTTGTCATTATCCCCCTCCCACCTTGTGGGAGGATTCGATTATCTTAAAGAAGCAAGATATGGTCCGGATTCAGAAAATTTATTTTCAGTTATTTTTATATGTGCAAGTGATTCACCATAGTCATTTTCTTAATATATCTCAATTCATTTGTAGTTGTGCTAACTAGTGACTTGTTGCCATGCTATTTTAGGAGTTGTGTAAGCTTGATTCTCTACCAGTTATGTCGGATAATGTGCAGAACTTGGAAATACAAGCTTATTGTAAAACAAATCACCATACCCCTACACTCGTGGCCTCCTTTGTTGAAAGATTGCCAACTTTGAAGACCCTGAAATGGGAAGGCATTGGTGTATACAAGTAAGACAGCACAATCATTGTTTTTTTTTTTTTTTTTTTTTTGAATTTTTTTTTATTGGAAAGTTACGCAAATCAGAACATTGTTAATTTGCTAGATTGACCATTTAATAGTTTATCTTTCCTTCGTTTTTTTTCCTCAATATTTTTTTCCTTTTAACATCAACTTTCCTTTTCTTGCTTCAGTTGCAAGTCAAACTCTTTCAGTGGACATGATTTTGATGCAGAGTATTGGTAACCTCAACATCTTGCATGACTTCATTGATTAAAGGCAGCAAAGATTGAGACTATGGATTGGAAAAATATTTGATTATTTTAGCTTACATTTGCTTCATCACTCTGTACATTCGTTTCTGCGATCGAACTGAAGTTAAATATACTCGCTGAGCTTCTTCTTTCGGTGATAGTTAGGTGGAATGGAGAAAAAAAAAAGTGAGATTTCATATATGTGAGATGTCTATGTTTTTATTTTCCAATGATCAATTGTTGAGTTGAACTTGAGGACTCTTTGTGGTTGTGCCACGCATTCTATTGGTTTGATGTCTGTCATCAGTATTAAAAGAATTTGGAATGTGGTCTGTCGTCTTACACAATTTTTAGTTTTCTTTGTGATTGGTTAGTCTCGTGACTATGAAGATTATGAGTTTTGTTGTATAAGGGGAAAATTTAAAATTTTAATTTTTGACAACTTTGCATCCTTGAATCTTGGAAGAGTGAGAACAATGAAAGTATTTTTTTTTTTTTGAAAAGTGAGAACAATGAAAGTTGGAATGTGGTAAGATTTGAGGGGTAATATGGACTTTGGAAAAGTATGAACAGTGAAAGTTGTTAGCTTTGTAATTAGTTTTAAAATTTTGGTAGATGATCTGAATGCTTTTTTAGAATGGGTAGATTGGTAATTTGTAGGGATGGCAAAAATCCCCACTGGCGGGGCCTTGCCCCATTTGGAGGCGGTTTTGGAGACCTGATTATTTCAATGGGGACGGGAATGGGGGCTATTTGGAAAAACCCGACGGGTTTTGGGGCGATTTCGGGGGAGGGTTGCCCCGAATATACTATAAATTTATTAAATTACTTTTACATACTACTATAATATTTACTAAAATAGATTAAGTGTATTTATATACACACATAGGAGAAAACAGTTGTCATTTCATTTCATGTCTTTTAATTCTTGTGAAAAAAAGGGTCTCATTTTGTTATACGTCTTTTAAGTCTTGTGAAAAAAGAGCCGCAACTAATTTGGGTTATAAAGTTGTCAAAAATTAAAATTTCCCTAATTTTAAATATAATAATTAGCTTATTTATTTATTAGCTTAATTACTAGAGTATAAAGCAAGCATTTTAGCTCATTAGCAACACAATTGATGACAATAAAATCTCTCCTCCAAGTAAGATAGCTTTTAAAAAATATGATATTTTTCTTTTTGTTGATTCAGACTTGATTTGAATACTTGAAAAGTTATTTTTATTTCTTAAAATGCATTTGTGTTGGTCTGAATCAGTTAAATTTTGTATTATCGATCTATTTGGGTGCAAGTATTTTTTTTTTTTTTTTTTTTTTAATGCTATTACAATATGGTTGAGCATAAAATTGCATCTGGAATTCTATTCAGTTTCAACCAAAGCAGGGATTATAACATCGTCTGTGAATCATGTCGCATGAATTTGATATACTATATTATCAGTTTCAATAGATTGTCAAAATTCAACCACCACTACCAAAATATTAACCTCGACAATTTGAAATCCACACATTGTGATATCATACGAAACCACAAACAAGAACTGCCACAAATACGAGGTTATGACTTATGAGAGTTTCAGAATACCGTAATCCTCTTTTTTGGCAGAAAAAAAAGGGTTAGAGATTCCGGATAACCCAACTAAAAACCAACCACATCCGATGAAAATCCATTGCAGAGGCAATGTGATTGCACAAAACAGTGTCATTCCATATTTGAGACAGGAGGCCCCATGTATACTACATAAAATACACAAGAGACTATCCACAAATCAACAAGGTCAATCTTATGGGATGTTTGCATTTCTTCTACACCAGGCAAACAAAGTGATGCCCGGTTTTTTGTATTTCCCCTGAAAAAGAGAGACAATCAGAATTACTCCTCCATAGGACATTTCCAAAAAAGAAACACAGACACACACGGATAAAACCTGCCATCCCAAAGAGGAGAACTCGATTTTGTACGGTTCAAAGATAATCCAACAATTAGCTTGGTGCTGATCTTCTATTAGTGTCATCTTGTGGATTCCCAGAAGGCGCTGCACCTGAGAACATCTCCATCACAGATCTCAAAGCCCCTGTTAGGTCCTCGGGCATTTGTTCTCCCAAATTGATATTAATATTCCCACCAACTCTTATTCCCGGCTCACTAAATGTATCAGCAGTGCTGCCTCCTGCTTCTGGCCGGTCTTGAGAATGCTGTCCCTGGTATACGTTTGCAGCCATGTTCATAAGCATGCTAGCAATATCAGAAGGAAGGCCGTTAGCATTAAATGGCATGGATGCAAATGGCGGAGTTGTGCCTTGGCTTCCTGAACCCCCTGCAGACTGGTGATTCGTTTCTTGATGATGATTTGCCGAACTTGAACTCTGTATAACGAAAAGAAAGGAAAACTGAGTTCTCAAAATCAGGAGGGACTGCAGAATGATGCATCAAATTGCAGAACAAACATCACCAAATTTCCAACTTCCAGAAGATGGCACGTCTTAACAGTTTCTCAAATGTTCAGTCTGCAGTATCAAAAAAAGAACATAGAAACTGGCTAATTGCTGATTATTGGTCTCTTAAGCATAGATTTGAACAGAAGGGACAAGACACTAATTTCTGTTCAGAAGTTGAAAATTGTTGGAATCATTATCAATATATAAGTTATATATATATATATATATATTTCATTTCTACTCATTCACCAAATAATTTCAAAAAGGCTAATCCTTATTCTGCTAGCTATAAGTTGTCTCTCCTTCAACTCTGTTGAGTATATTTTATGCATGTCTCAAGTCATCGACCAAAGAAGTGGGAAACAGCCATGAAAACAGACACCATGCAGTCTTAGTTCTCTTTCATACATTGGATTAATCAACAGAACCAATATTACATTTTAGTTGTGAATTTGTGCAAGGAAAAATAACCAATTATTTGATTTGTGTGTAGGCTTTTAAAAAAAAATCATATTGATTATAAATTCAACACATTAATTAAAAAAAAAAACTATCCTGAACACATGTCCAGTAATTCTGTATAAGTTGAAAGAAACTTGTCAATGAATTCAAGAGTTGTCAAATGAAGGACACCAATGTAAGAGTCAACAGCAGTCCTATCATATTCCTTTCTGTCAGAGAGGTTTGTGAATTTACAGGCTCAAATTGAAAATATTAGTTTAATATCTTCAAAACATGTCCACTATTTCCATTAATGTAACCACTAACCAATAGCAAAAATACAATGTACTTCTTCATATCAGAGAAAGGAACAGCATTAACAATGCCATTTCTGAATTTACACTGAAATGAGAATATGTGAAATAGCATTAGACCTACACTTTTTTATAGTTAAATCTCATACCTCTCTGCAACTTGGAGAACTACTTTACCCTTTTTATGGGGATTCTATTGTTTCTTGTTCTTCTTAAAATAAAGTCCAGATCTAAAATTATTTACCTCCACAACCCCCACCCCATTTTTCAAAAAAAAAGAAGAAGAGAAAAAAGAAGAAGAGGAAAAAAATAATAAGAAAATAACTCAACTTGGAGACACAGAAAAAAGAGGAAGGAGGGGGGGGGGGGGGGGTGGGGGGGGGGGAAGGGGGGGGAAGAGAAAATTTCCAAAGATATTCTATCTCATTCAAAACTTTATAATACCCCTTTTCACCCCTCCATAAAACACATTTCTCACACACACAATATAAATTACCTCATTACGTTCTGTCCTTAGCCGCTCTTCTATCAATTTTTGCTGAGCCACCTATGATTCAATAAAACAATAAAATGAATAGTAACAATAATAATTGTTACTGCTGTAGTAGTAGTAGTAGCATAGCACTGGTAGTAATATAATAGTAGCAGCAGCAGTATTGTTAGTAGGAATACAAATGCAAGTATGAACTAACCCGGATGTTTTCTTTGACAGAATCATTGTTTGGATCCAATTGCAATGCTGCATTAGTTAAATTTAAAAGAATTAAAGAGAATGACAAAGTTTCTAAAATTTCTTCAGTAAAATTTTAAATTAAAAATATTTGCAGCATCATGAATCTATTAAGTTCTTGGAAGAAAATATTACGGTGTAGGCAAACAATAATGGATCATTATGGATATCAAGAAGCATGATTCAACTTGGAGAAAGAGAAGGCATGACTAGAAAAGCTCTTATAAGCAAGAGGACCAACATTCAAAATCCATAATTTTGGACAAAGATATATATTACGTCATAATGACATTAGATGAGATCACCTCAAAAAGGTCCAGAGCTAATACATTACAGTGGTTTACATTCTTGTTAATTAAATCACATGGGTTGAACTTTGACTCAATTTAACCAACCAATTGCTTAAATATGTCATCTTACATTTAATTCAAATATTTACTTTCATTATGCATACTTAAAATATGTGTAAAGCTAGCAAGCGGGTGCTTTGGATTGATTGTACCGGTCAACAGCTGCAAGGAGGACTTCATGCTGAGAGCACCCCTCGATAGATTTTTCCTTAGAATAGATTTTTCGTAAACAGATCTGGAGCCAGCTCCACAAATCTACACTTTTGAAAAACAATCAACAGCTGCAAGGTGGGGACCTCATGCTGAGAGCACCCCTCGATAGATTTTTCCTTAAAATATATTTTTCGTAAACAGATCTGGAGCCAGCTCCACAAATCTACACATTTGAAAAACATGGTTGCATCTTCATGTGGTAATCTAAATTGTCTCAGCGGAAGGTTATGGTAGTGTATGCTATACGTTGTACCATACATGTCAACTTAAATTCATCTTAAGTGAGTAAGCATTTGCATCCACTTAAAAGTTGTGTATAAGTTTAATATGATGGTACAAATATCACAAGATTTTTGACAGATAAAGTTGCTTCAAGCTTTAATTTTTCAATCAAAAATATTCTTATGCTTGCATTTTTTAATTTTTTTTTTTGGATAAGTATTTCTTATGGTTGCATATAAGTTTTGGTTGTTATTTACATTAGTTTTATGGCACGATTTAGCTTCCTCAAAAGTTTTCCAAGTATGAGACTATTTCCAGGTTGACAAAAACATACACTGAAATAAGATTAATACTCTACTTCCTAGTGCTTTTCTAAGCCATCAACTAATCAATACTCTTTGTTTATCTCATTATCATCTTATTTGGCATTGCCTTTGTTGAACTTACATGTCCCATTACAACTCCAACCACTTACATGTTGAACTTGATTGGATAACATTGATGTAAAAAGAAAAACAGTTCCCTTCTTTCCACTTCTAATGTTTTAAATTGTGCTACAGCTGGTTATGAGTTTCTGTAACATCAAATCCAAACCAACCAATTCAAGGTAGGTCGCATTATCTGGTTCGCCATACATTGACACCGTATCAATGAACATAATTTCCAGCACATCCTTTTTTTTTTTTTTTTGATAAGTAAGATTTTATTGAAAACGCTCAAGAGGGGAGCGGAACCCAAAGGAAACAAAAGGGCCAAAGGCGCCTCAAACCTTCAAAGAGGCTAAAAAAACAAAAATCTCCTCTAAAGATCTATAATCTCTCCCTGAAACCCAACAAAAAAGAGTGGAAACAATAGAGAACTTAAGCATAGAAACAGGTTTCTCCTTTCCCTCAAAATTACTAATTTCTCCAGCACATCCTTATTCATCAGTGTTACTAATTTTTCCAATATATAGGCATATTTTAAACTATATTAATTATAATAAAGAAATAATTGAAAATCGAACAGAGTAATAGTCAACGTGATGCCACAGTAAGTGCATATGTCATACAAACCTTTTATAAACCCTTTATTGATTGCATCCATGTAGTTCCCTTGTGCGTAATAAGCAAATCCAAGACGACTGTATGCCTTGCTATAATTTGGGTCAATTTCGATGGATTTAAGACAGTCTCTGATTGCTTCAGTATACTGGTGGATCTGGGTGTATGCAGCTGCCCTGATAAGTGCACATATACCAAAGGTCACAATTTGCTGCAACTAGGCAAAAGACTATTGAAATGCAAAAGATTTGAATTTGATTCAACAATTTGTTTACTATACTAAAAATCATCCAAGAAATTTACAACTCTATTTCAGATTCTCATTGATATTGTAACTAATTTCCACCCATACATGCTAAGGAAACACCATTCATCAGTGTGGTATGGGATGCCTCCAAGGAATTGACAGATTAGAAAAAGAGATGCATATTTACATCAAACAGATTACACTTAATCCATGGCTTCCAATTTTTTATTTATAATCTAATCATGGGCATTTATGGAATTCGATAATCAATAAAATCAAAAGAACAGTTTATACTCTAGGGTGAAACCATGAAAGACAAGCTGGTGAAGTTTAATAGAGAGATTTTTTACAGCAACAGTAGGAGAGACTGCAGGTTGGTCTTTGAAGGTTGAAATACAGAGATAATCATTTAATTTGAACCAACTGAAGTTCATCTTTGTCCATGAATAAGAGGTAATTTTGAGTTCATACACTTCTTGCATGTTACTTCAGATCAGCAAAACTATGTTGTTCAGGATTTAGGTTGCAAAGTTGGGAAAGAATATGTGTTCACCTCATTTAAAATGTGACATTAACAAACATGAAAACAGGTAGCAACATGTGAGAAAAGAGCAATTATCTATAAGATCATTCGAGTAAATTTTAACTTTAAAGCCTCTAAAAGGGCTATAATAATAATAATAAAAGGGACTGGTTGGTTATCGGGCTCAATAGTCCAATAAATTCCACAAATAGCATCCAAATCACAAATCACAAATCACATGTAATATCTTTCCATTTGTATAAATTCATTAAGATTCCGCAGAACATGATTCACTAGATTCATATGGAAAGGGGTTGAATCGAAATTGAATAATAAGACCCAAATTATCAATCATAATCTTAACTACTTTGGGGCAGAATATATCTTTGGTTTATGTTATTAGGATATCCCAGTAATTATGTTTTGTTGCTCATTGTGCTTATCACCTTAGTAGGTGGCTACTCATAAGTTACCAGTCAGCTTCTTGCTTGATTCTGTTTTATTACTAGCTTTAACTGTCACCTACTTTGTAAGGCCCGGTTCCATTTTGCATTTTTCCGGTATTTTTTTATTTTTGGTATTTTATTTTCTTCTATGTTGGGGGACACGTGCTGTGGGTTTCCGGGAGTTGTTCGGGGCATTTCTTTGGGATTAGAACCCTTAGAAACTCATTTGGAACCATTTCGAACATTTTCAGATTTCGTGCCCGTGAGGTCCTGTGGGCCCAGGGCCGGGTTTTCATGCTCGGGAATTTTCCCGACATTATATTTATCATGCTATATTATGTTATTGGTGTATGTGTATATATAAATGTGCTTTAAGTATATGTATTTTGGTACAAATGTTATTAGAGTTAGCTTGGAGGGCATTTTCGTACTTTGGCGTGTTGGGTGGAGACCACTTGTTGACCAAGAACATATATAGCCACAAAAGATCAGATTTGTGGGCTCATTATCTCTTTCTCTCTCTACTGAGTTCCCTTCTCTCTCTTCCTCTCTCTATGATTTTTGCTTTCCACCATTGTTACAAAGCAAAAGGCTTGGTTTTGACCTAGTACAAGTGAGATTTTGAGAGGGTGCTAGTTGGAGAAGTGAGAGAACTTGAAGAGGGCTACAAGATGGTATAATTTTTGTGACCATTGAAGCATCTTGAGATTTCGGACCTAGGCTAAATTTTGGAAAAGTTGTTCACCTCTTCTTCCTCTTCATTTTGGTGGTCTTAGCCTTCATTTTGGTGGAGTTTCAACCTTGGAGCAAGCTAGGTTTTGGCTTGGATGTGAGGTAGGGGTGTCTAATTCATAGAGTCCTTTAATTTTGTGAGTTCTTATATGATAAATTGTGTGTATAACATGCTATGATTGACTTAGTGTGGTAATTGTTCACCTTATTAATTTTAATGCCATCCATTACCTATCATGGTGATTAATTGTACAATTCAAATGCTATCTACGTTAACTTCTTGCTAGCATGCCTTGTGTGTTGATGTTGTGCCAACTTGTAGTTAAGGGGATGATTACTTGAGAAATTGTATATGTTATAACATGAAAATTGTGAAGCCTATGTATATGATGATTAGAATTTAACTCTCTTGATTTCAAACACTCTTAAGTGTTTGCCAAATTGTTAATGTGAAGCTATTTGTTGAATTTTTTGTTTAAAAGGCATGCTTATGTAATGTGGTTATATAAGTACTTTGAGGCATACCCAATTCATGATGATAGCTAGGTAGTTGGCCATTCATAATTTGAAAGTTGAGCATACATGGGAGCATTCATCATTCAAGCATTGGGTAGTGCATGTGTGGGTGTGATGGTTGTGTGGGGTGAATTTCCAAAGTTTGAAGAAAAGTTTTTGAACACGGGAGATGAGCGGTCACCTTGTTCCCGATTGTGTTTTGTGAAAAACAGGAGATGAGCGGTCGCCTTGTTCCCAAGGATGTTTGTGAAAAACGGAAGACGAGAGGTTCTGAGGTTGTGGTAGCTAGACCCCAAATGGTGGTGAGCAGTGATTCTACGCCAGGGATAGCTAGATAGTGTTCCAAATGGTGGACGAGCGGTGGTCTTGTGCCATTTGGAGTTGATGGTTTTTGGTGTGTGTATGTGTGAGTGAGTGGGGTTGGTTGGTTGGAGGAGTGCGGTAACATTCACGGAGATGTCATAAGCGTGGTTAGAAAGAGATCATGGCATTCGGCATAATCGTGGACTATACATGCATTGATATATTGTTGATGAATTTGTATGTGTATATGTGGGTCTTTTTTTTTTTTTTTTGATAAGTCAAATAATTATTTACTATTATTGACTGATGGAGTGGGGATTCGAACTTGGGCCTTTGGCCACAAGCAACACATGCCCTACCACTGGGCTATCACACCATATCCAATATGTGTGTATGTGGGTCTTACCGGTTATTATTGTCAATGTCGTTTAGTTTAGTTGATGATCTCGATCTTTTTCCCGTGCAAGCATGACCCCTCGTCTTGATTCCGCTTCCATTGTGTGCTTGCTCACTTGGCTATAAGAGGCATGCCTTAGGCATACTCTACTCAGCCGTCGTGCTCACCCCTATTATATTAACATTTTTCAGGCCAGACTCGCTACGGAGGATGATGGTATTGGAGAAGTCTTCTAGATCGTTTTGGAAGACCTTATATTTTCATATCTCCATGTATTTCTTTTTGTTGTAGTATGTACTTATGTATATATTTGAGGCTTCTTGTATATTTTGCCTCTTGTCATTTCAAGGGAATGAGACGCCTACGGCTATGGTCAAACTTTACATTCTTCGTTCTCTTTTCAATTATGTGAAGAGGAGCTTTTGTTCTTCTTCTGATGATTTAATTACTTTCTTGGATTCTTTGGGGCCTTAGCCCCGGTTCCTCTTTTGTAATTGGGACGCGTTCCCCTTTTGAATGCCTTTTTTAATGCTATTTTTACTTATCAAAAAAAAAAAAAATTAGGTTATATAATGAGGCCATGTAGGTCAACGACTTATTGTAATTATCATTTTGTGAATATGTACGTTTTCCTTGATGTTTTTGTTTATGTATGATGTTTGTCACGGATAGATACTAGTATGATAGGGTGAGAGGGTGGCCTCATCGACACCATTTTCAGATTTAGAAATGCATATGATTTGCATACCATTGATGACATCTTGTTCATTTCAACATTCTTGGCCTTTGATGGACTTAGATGAATGTTTTAGAACACCCTTGGAGTGTTCATGTTGGCCTAGGAGGTGCCCAAGGCCTTAAGCACCTGAAAAAAAACCTTTTTAAGCAAGTTTGGACACCCTACGATCGATCGTAGGTCTCCATTTTTTGGATGCAAAAACAGAAAGTTGTCTTTCCTACGATCGATCGCACTATTGTTCACAGCACCCGTCTTGATGATCAAACTTCAAATGGCCATAACTTGCTCATTTTAAATCCAAATTAGGTCATTCTTGTGCTCAAACTGACCGTCTTGAAACCAGCTTTCCAATGGTACCAGTCCCATTCAAAGATTCCAAATATAGAAAGAGTTATGACCTTTTAAGCGAGGACTGGTCATATCTTCCCTAAGATAAAAATGCCAATTTGTAACGAAACCATTCCTCTAGGGCCTAGACCCTCATAGGATGTTTATATATGGTTACCATGACTTATATGGACCCCATTTGGTACATCATTCATGGTCACATTAGCCATGTAGGCTAATGTGAGCTTAGATTCCGCATTTGGGACTCGATGTCAGGTCGGGTTTGGGTATCCGTTCATGTACTGGGTGAACTAGGTTCGGGGCGTGACATGCTTGCTTGCTACCAACTTGTAACCTACTGGTCACCTACTCTCTCTCTTATTTTCTCTTCTCTTTGCTAACTCCTTCTCTCTCTCTGATTCTCACCAACCTCTTTCTTAGAACTTATTTTCCTCCTTTATTCAACATCTCACTTGACCTACTATACTGTACGTCTCAATTCCTATCTGGTGTTTAATTAACTTCTATTCCTTGGAATACAACTTTCTCCTCTCTCCCCGTTGCCTTACCTTCCCTCTATTTCTTGCTCTTGCTTCTTTATATTTCCATGCTCCGTTGCTAATAGAATCGAACAAATTCAAAGGAATTTCCTTTAGGGAGATGAGTTCAAGTATCATCTTGTTAGATGGGAGCAAGTTTGCAAGCCTATAAAGTTGGGGGGTCTTGGTATTAGATGATTGATTCCTTTTAATAAAGCTCTTTTGGGTAAGTGGTTGTGGAGATATGGGAAGGAAAGACATCGTCCTTGGCGCAGATTAGTGTCTTGCAGGTATGGGGAAGATGTTGGTGGTTGGACTACACGTCCGGTTTCTATTGCGGGAGGAGTTGGGGCGTGGAAATCCATTCGACAAGGATGGGATGCCTTTTCCTCTCATATCAGATTCAGAGTTCGGGATGGTAGCTGTGTCCGCTTTTGGGATGATCTTTGGTGTGGGAACCAGCCTTTATGTCGTACATTTCCCAGGTTCTATAGTATTGCAGTTGATAAACATGCCATAGTTGCTAACTGTTATCATCTTGATAATAGTGGGATTACGTGGAATGTTCATTTTCGGCGTTCATTTCAGGATTGGGAGTTAGAAGAGGTGAGCATTTTCTTGGATCAATTGTATCGGCAAGAAGGAATTGGCAGGGGTTTTGACAGTTTAAATTGGATTCCCTCCTCTCACGGGCGTTTTACAGTTAGGTCCTTGTTTTTCTGTCTGTCTAATTTTGCATCCTATGATTTTCCTTGGAAGACTATTTGGTGCTCCATGGTCCCTACTAGGATGGCATTCTTTGTATGGACTGCTGTTTGGGGAAACATTCTGACGATCGATAATCTGAGGAAAAGGGAAAATTTTCTTGTTAATTGGTGCTATTTATGTAAGCAGAATGGGGAGTCAGTCGATCATCTCCTAATGCGGTAGCGCGCGATTGCTGGAATCTCATTCTTGGCCTATTTGGCATGTGTTGGGTAATGCCACGTTCTACTAGGGAGCTAATTCATACTTAGAGAGGTTGTCGTGTGAGTAGGAGTGTTCGTGCTTATTGGAGATCTGTACCACATTGTATTTGGTGGTGTATCTGGAAGGAGCGAAATAGTAGAATGTTTGAAGGGAAAGAGTCGTCTACAGCGACACTGTAACTTTTTATCATTCACTCTCTTTTTTGTTATGTGAACAGAAGTTCGTGTTCCTCTTCTGTTGATTTAATTTCTTTTCTGGATTCTTTGGGGCCTTGAACCCCGGTTCCTTTGTCCACAGGACGCGTTCCCCTATTGAACGCCCTTTTTAATTTATTATTACTTATCAAAAAAAAATGAGGAATACATTTTCTTATCATAAGAATTGTAGTGCAAGTTGCATCTGCTTGGTATTACAGTAACCAAGATCCAAATTCGTGATGCAAAACTTCAAGATTGAAAACCTACATAGCTCATTACTCTGAAACTCGAGATCAAATTTTCTCCAATTCAATCAAGTTCAAAAATGAGGATTAACTTTTGCAGCAAGATTAAAAATAAAAATAAAACTTACCAAGCTGTATTTCTTTATTCCACATTTTTAATTAGTTTTAAGAAGCTTTACATTTTTTGCTGTTATATAATTAAACTTATTTGCTAAATAGGGTAGAATTAGTTTTATGATTTTTAGGTATTAGGGACATAAATATTTCTATTTATAGGAGGACAGGAGGCTACTGGTAAACTTCTAATCTAGGTGCTTGTCACCAGCTTACTTCTCACCTACTCACTTCTCACCAACTTGATCATACTTGCATGTTAATTGCTAAATAGGCCTCACCAGCTACCTTGTCACTCTCTAATCTTCTCCTCTATTACGATTCCCTTTCCACTGTCTTATGTCTTTCTTTGAACCCTTCCCTCCTCCATCTTTCCTCTCCTTTCTTCAATATGTCCTTTAACCTTTCTAGTCTCTTTGATATCTTATCTTTCCTCTCTCTCTTCTCCCTTCCCTCTCTGTCCCTCTCTAATATTCTGTTACTCTATTTCTTGGGGATTACTCTCTCCTCCCTCCTCTCCCTTGCCTTTTCCTCACTCCCTTGCCCTTGCTCACAATTCTTCTTTATTACTCAATAAGGAAGCATATTTTCTTGTTATGAAAAACCTATAACAAGTTTCACCATAAATTTTAAAGAGCCACTTCCAAAATTTCACACCCCACTTGGCAAATAATTATGTTCCAAAGATTTCAACTTGTGATCTGTACAATGTAGGACTCAGAAGCCAACAAGAAAATAGTATTTCTATCCACCACTATCCTGTATTTAGGCCAATCTCCTGTTTAATTGTTCCTTCATTGCCTAAATCATAAATTTCTCAGCAAATCAATCCCCTAATATTTGCTTCCCAGTATCCCACTGTGCCAATCACCAGTGGAGCGCTGTAACATATTTTCTAATATCTGCTGATTGCCTTAGGAAGGCAGGTTATCTATCTCCAGATGATGCAACCTATTTTCTAACATCTGCTGATTTCTTTAGGAAGGTTGTCGATCTCAATATGATGTTTGCTCGTGAAGTACTAGCACATACCACACAACAAAGAAATAAATAATATAGTTGGTTGACCTCAACATGACATTCATGCAAAACAGGACTGATAATTGTACTGGTGATGGTCAAATCACTTATGAATCAATACTTTCAGACCCCTACAGAATCTAACTTGGAAACTAGTGGGGTAAAGAAAATGGTAGTTTTCCTACTAAAATTAATTTATCATCTTTAAAGTACTCTCCCACTTTTGCTCTTTTGCACCAAAGGGAAAAAGATAAATAAATAAATAAATAAATAAATAAATAAAATAAATAAAAGAAGAAGAAGTATTACAAGTTACAACCAATGCCAATATTCAAAAACAAAAACAATAAAATTTAAAAAATACATGCAGTGCACCTGTTGCAATAGTAAACTGCATTTTCTTCACAAAGTGCAATAGCACAAGAATACAGCTCAATTGCATCAGAGTATAGTTTTGACTGCATGGCCTTATTACCTACAAAGGAAGGGCAACTATAAAATACAAAAATCCAAAAAGAGCAATTATTATAGAATCATCTATCACATCAATGGGCATGAGGCACAAATATAAGACCGTCCATGGATAAGCACAAATTAAGACAACTGCATGATTAAAGAAAATTATAGCCATGCTAAAGATATAATTGAGAAGAATTCTAGCATAATCATGCCCTTAACAATAAGAAAGGTTTTCTTAGACCATCTAAGAGAAAATAACTATAAGTACAGATTTAATACAACTAGCCACCAATGTTTACGGAAGTAATAATTAAAAATACCTTGTGATTTCAAGGACTCGGCAAGGCTTTTCTGATCAAATGTCTGGCATCCAGATTTTTGCATACCCTGGTATCACAAAAGTTGATTTTCCTTTGTCAAGCTACGGGCATGGAGGATAAAAAATTGGGTAAACTACAATGACCTCCCCTGAGGTTTGGACTAATTGCAATGAAATCTAAGGTTTTCCATTTTGTTGCAGCGTGACCCCCTGATGTTTTCCCCATTTTGCAATGACCTCCCCTCCGTACAAAAAATAATAAAATTGGTTTGAGGTGACTAAAATGCCCATCAATAATGTAAAAAGATGCTATTATCCTTGTAATGTAAACAAATGACAATAAAATTCATGTTAAGTGGACCAAACTACCCTTAAACCACACACTCACCATTGTTTCTCTCTCTAAAACCCACCTCCACCACTTCACTGCCACCGTCCCTTCTGCGAAATCCATTTGTAACCCCCCAATCAAATAATGTATGTGTAAAATACTTATCAAAAAAAAAAAAAATGTATTGGTGTGCAATAATCTATGTATTACATTGGTTAATATATATATAGAGAGAGATAAACATTCTCAGCCCCAAATGAAAGTCAGAGACCCTATTCAGAGTCTGAACCCACCTCCACTTCTTCACTGCCACCATCACTTCTGCTAAATCCATATGTAACCCCCAAATCAAACAATGTGTTTTGTGTGCAAAATTCACATATATATATCTATATAAAATACATATATGGTAATACATATATGGTTACAAATACATATATATATATATATAAAGATCAGACCAGTCCGATCCGGCAACTATTCCCGGTGAAGAACACTCCCAAACGGAACCACACGTGATGAGAGAGTGAATCAATCCAAGTATACTCTCAATCAACTCCATCATCTAGCAACATCGGATGTTAATTGTTCTCCCGGTGGCTCTGATTGGGTTGCGGCAAATCCATGGCTATCTTTGGTATCAGTCACTATCAACCACAACAACCCCTCAAAGACCGGTCAAAGGAAATTCCGACATCTGCCTACACTAAATCAAAGACTGAATTGAAGGATGTAATCATCAGCAGCGACGAGAATTTGAGCAGCGTGGAGGTGGAATCTGTTATGTATATGCACCCGGCGGAGAGTGAGGCAGCGGTGGAAGCGCGGCCAATGAATTTTGGGGCGAACCGCCGTGTGCTTTCAGAGAGAGAGAGAGAGAGAGAGAGAGAAACCGGTTCAGATCTTTAAATCGCCACTCCAGAGAACCAATCAAGATGGTCCTTGAGCTTAGGGATGTCAGGGAAGAAGTCACGTTCGATGATCTTCTCGATTGCGGCGACGTAGGAGTCCTCATCAAGGACAGCATGGGTTTTGCAAGGGTTTTTTGCGGTTTGGGTTGAAGTGGTTAAGGGGTTTGTAAGAATTTTTCAGAGAAAGAAGGTGATGGTGAAGAGAGGTATCGAGGTCAGTGGCCTGGAGATAAAAGCCTGGTTTGTAACTTTATATACATATATATATATATATACATATATATATATATATACATACATATATATATATATATATACATATATATATATATATACATATGATTCTATGGTTGGGGTTGAGGTTTTGTTTGTATACACACACACACACACACACACACACACACGTACATATATGATTCTATGGCCTTGAGGGTGGTGGTGTGGATGGTACCGGTGATGGTAGATCGGGATGGAGGGGGAGAGGAATAGTGAGATAAAGGAAAAATAGAAATATTTTTATTGGGTAAATGTTAGTGGGCAAAAGGGTCATTTGTTATTTTTAGATATTTTGATTTTTTAATAATATAATAATGAGGGTAGATAAGTAAATTTACTACAAAATCTGACATTGGGGGTCTTTGCAACAAAATGGCAAACCTCAGGTTTAGTTGCAATAAGTCCAAACCTTAGGGGAGGTCATTGTAGTTTATCCTAAAAAATAATGAGAGAATGGAAATTTAATAAACAAGAAGCGACCAACATAAGTGTGCCAACACATCATTAGAGTGTTTTCATGTATAAAGATTGAATATTTGAATGAAAATGAGAGTTTTTAGTTAAACGTAATCGAGTTCCCTTTGAAGTCACATAGAATGTTCTAATGTGTAAAGATTTAATCTTTGAACGAAAATACCTAAATAAAGGTACCTTTTAAGTGACTAGAGTGTTTTAATGTATAAAGAGAGCACTACGAGCTAGTGTCAGGTGCCAACGAAAAATGCAAAACCATAAAGAGGAAGAAGATAGAAAAAGGTTGAATGAGACTGGTTATAATTGCTTACCATAGTATAAAATATATGTCGAAAGTAGGTTCTAACTGTCAAGTTATGAGGACAGGGAAAAAAGGGCAAATAATGTACTAAGATGAAAGTCTATGGAAGAGGAAAGAAAATAACAAACTAGTGATAGTGTAGTACACTTCTTATTCTCTATTTACTTAAATTAATTAATAAACATCAATATGTGCCAGGCATCAGCCTTATACCATGTGCCAGGCCACCATGAATATCAGGCACCTTCTTCCCCAACTCCCCTTGTTTCACCCTTAATTTGGTCTAATATATGGTCCAACCTACTGTTGAGGCTTCCCATAACCTTGCGCAGGAGGCATTACCCTACACAACGCTCTTCCAATGTTACAGTTGCTGGTGATAAATTCATATCAGTGTTCTAATGTTGTGATTGAATCTACTAAAAATATTACTTGTTGGTTCAGAAAAATCATAAGCACATAACGCATACCGCTAGAGCGTTGTGAAATATACTTGTTGCTCTATCCAGTTGGACCTGATCGTCCTGTCCATCAGTTGTAGTCTTAAAATAGTGAATTTTCTCAAGTGCGCCAAAAAATTGCCCAAAAAGTTCGTCTTTGGATAATCCTGCCAATGACATGAAAAAATAGAAAGATTATTATGCAAAAGACCAATAGCTTCAGAATATAAAACAGACCCCCTTTTTAAAAAAAATGTTTAGAATAAATCCCAATTTCAGCAATGTCAATACCAAATGACAAATTCGCATGCCAAATATATATCCTCCTAAACCATGTCTGTGAAGCTAGGGTGATTACCATTAAGAGCATCAGCATGAGTTCCATGACATAAATGGCCAAAATTTGTTTCAGTTTGTGACATTGAGTACTCGAAAAAGAAAAACTATCAAGAAACTAGAATTCAGCACAGCCATTAATTTCTAAAACGGAATTCATAATTTAAAGCATGGTTTTCCATAAGCTAATATTAAATTTTCTTTTTGAAATTCCAACCAAACTAATACAATGGCAGCATTTCTTTAAGAAGCATTTGTCTGAGTTCCAATGTCACAAAAGATGCCTCAAACTAACATCATCAATCCCATTCCCACCACTACCTAGCATTTTTTTTCCCCGGTTAGGTAAATACTCTCACACACACTCGCAAATACCCACCATGGGGTTCGAACCCCTCACCGCCCCTTTGAGGGAGGAGTGGTTATACCAGTTTGGCTAATGCCCAGTGATCAGTAACTAGCGTGTTGTTGGTTCAGCATTTCTGACAGCAGGGACGGAGCCAGAAATATTTAAATGGGGGTGCCAAACTAGTAATATAAAATTAAAATTTAAAAATAATATAAAATAATTGTAATAAAAAAAATTAGTGCATTTTTAATGTGTATTGTTAGGAGCAAGACTGTAAATAAAATGAGAAGAAGAATGGAGAGAGGAGTTGTCAAGTGTCAATAATTTTCTTTCCTTCTCTCTCTAACTCATAAAAAATAAAATTTATGCATGTATGCGTGCTAGTGAATAGAGTATGTTGTTGTAAGTATTACCATGACAATTAACATTTTTTTAACTAAATTGATTCTTTTAAAGCAAGAGGTTCATTAGACTTTGAAGGGGTTACAGGAATTTCATTTGCAAACCACCTTTAATAACTATAAGTTAACCATAAATTGAAAATTTTAAAAATTTTAGAGGGACCAACTTTAGCTTTTATATAGAAAATCACCATTAATAACTAGAATTTAGTACCATAAATAGAGTTTTACAAAAAAAATAAAAATAAAAATTGGGGGTGGGGGCAGGTTTAATTTTTGATGGCCCCCCTAGACCCCTCCCTCCGCCCCCATCTAACAGTATTTTTGAAAATCAAGAACAACAAAATTTTGTTTTCTTGGTTTTTTTATTTAGCTACAAAATCAACATCATGTGTATTAAATTTTTATGAATAAAGAAAAAGTACTTTACTAAAATCAGCAAGAATGTGCAAATTTGGTAATGAAGGTTTGGTGATGACATGACACTGGTGGTACAGGTAGTAGATGAAAGTTAAAGGTAGGACCAGGGGCGGGGCCAGAAATAAAAATTTGGGGGGGGGGGAGGGGGGGGGGGGGGGGGGTGTGTGGGGGGATGGGGTGAACCAGTAATATAAAATTAAATTTAAAAAATTAATTAATTGTAATAATTTCTTTAAGGGCATGTTTATAAATGATATGACTATGGTACTAATAAGTTGTAGCAATGGTTACAATAGTAATTTCTTTTGCAAACTACCATTAATAACCATAGATATGTAACCATAAATAAGATTTAAAAATAATTAAAAAAAAAAAAATGGAGGGGGGGGGGGGGGGGGGGGGGTTTGCATTTTGAGAAAAATTTCCCCCCTGGGGTAGGGCGATGCCTACAGTAGTGATGAAGTTGCCATATTAACGCAAGGTAGTGGCAGTGATGGTGCAATGAAATCTATGCTTCCAAAATCACTAGTACATTGAAACTGTCAATATTAACAAGGATTGGATCCTATTGGATCCTCAAGTTACCTTCAAAATGGGAAGTTCCAAGGGCACTAGAGAGAGAAACAAAATTCAAGCTATATTTTTAAATTATTGTTTGATATATTTGAATATTATGAGGAAAAGCCAAAATCCCAAGAGATTGAAAATAACACCAACAATTTGTACCACGATTTTAGAATTAAGAATTGTTAATTCCATTTCAAGCTTCCATCCGAAGCTTCAACTCCAGACTTGGAGAATTTTCAGAAGTGCCAAAACGGATCAACTTGTATATATCAGAAGCGCCAATTGCAGCGCGTAATGCCCATCAATCATCTATATCATAAGTAATCTAGTTCTTCTTTGCTCTTATTTGATCCACAACCTTCCTTTCCTCTATAACTATATCGGTGATTTCTCGGTACTGCATGAGACTCTCAATTCAAATTTCAAAGGGCCATTAATCTTTTGGCTGTGGCCGTGTGGATGCTTTAGGATTTTGATGTGTGATTTATATTTTAGGCTGACTAGTCTTCTCTTGTGTCTCTAAATGTATATATAAAACTACTGATGTATAAATTACAATAATAAATTATACATATTATTTTCGTAATGGCTTTTTCACGGCTGAGAAACTGTTTATCATTATTACATATATGTATGTGTATTCATTGATGCCATTTGCTATATTTTATGTACATGGTATGCTGGTTTCCTTGACAAATGACGAGCTTAAATCTGATATAAGTTATATTCCTGGAAATCGGCATGCAATTGACAAAAAGAGATTCTTTTTAATATATAAAAGATAAAGAACAATACAAAGTAACTATTTGTTATTTCCTCTCATTGCAACCAAGAGAGAGAGAGAGAGAACTTCTCTAATAATTTAATAATTTATGTTATTTTGATTTTTATTCCATTTTCTCTTATTTGCAGTCTGTTTAAGCCATCTTCAGTTCTAAAACATAAAATGTATTCACTTTTTTTTTGAAAGTGTAAAATGTATAATTTTGAAAGAAAGAAGTCATATATTATTTAGGTTTTAAGAACTGCAAGTAAATTTCGTATCTTTTCCTTCTGTAAAAATTGCAATACAAAACATTGAGCTTCAATATCATAAATTCACAGCGCATCAAGCAACAAAAAATGAGAAAATGCATGTGTGTATAGACGCGTGTGTGTGTATGTGTGTATAGATACAAAACAGTCATACCTGAGGTGTGAGCTTCTCCATTCAAATCCTCACCCTGTTTAAGTAGGAAAAGATAAAACAAAGTCATCATCACAATCATCAATGCCTTAATCCCATATGAACCTATCTTTTTTCATTCTTTTCTATTACAAGCCATCTCTCCTATGAGTTTTAACTTATTAAAATCGCATACAATGATTTCATCCCATGTTAAAAGATAAAACAAAGTGAAATCCAAAATTCATAGCGCAAAACTGGAAGATGGTAGTGAAAACTCAAAAATACATACAACTACAGATAATTATAAAATGGGAAATGATTTAAAGGCCAACTAGTCTGGCATATTTATCAAAGTGAAGCAATTAAGGCCATTGATTGCCTCAAGTGGGGCCTAAAACGGGGTCCCACTTCAGGCCATCAAAGGCCTTAATTGATTCACTTTGATAAATAGGCCAAACTAGTCAGCCTGAATATCATGATTCTTATAAAATTTATGATCCACATTAAAAACCATCCAAGTGATCATTTAAAATGAGCACTTTCAACTTCCTATTCTAATGGCAAAATTACAACTTGGTTTAAGCACTAAAGCCTTGGCTTGAGATCCTTTATTTGCAAAACCAAACACCAAACAAGTAAATGTACCAAGATAAAACCTTAATCAGATATATTTATAACTATGTCATGCTTGGATCTTCTTCAACGTATTATATTAGATGAATTCACATTTTTCCAAACTGTCTTTCTTATACCACTCTCATTTTTTAATGAAAGAACAAAATTCTGAAAATGATGTCTTGGCTTTTAAAAGCATGTCCTTATCAAAAAACAAGTTTTAAAAGCATGTAGGAGAATAATGTTAATGATGCAGTCCAAGAACAAAAAAAAAAAAAATTTAAAGAGAAAGTTGAAAATTGGGGAAATACCAAAGCCGCTCCACATGGGACCTTGTGTGGTCAAGTTTATTTCTAGTCCAGTCCCATTCTATGCTTTTTTTAGGCTACTGTTCAGCTGGTGCAATTTTATGTGTGTCTTATGAGCCAAGGGTATCTAGTAATTAAAAAATTTCCAGACAAGGGCTGATCCATGTGTTTTATTTGCTAGTGGATGGTTTATTGTGTCTTTATGGACCTTTAGATGGACTCATGTGTTTTATGGGCTGACCCAGTCCTATTATATGCTTTCTTTAGACTAGTGTTTAGCTGGTGCAGCTTTGTATTGTCTTAAGCTTTAACAGCCAAGGGTATCCAGTAATTTTAAGGTTTTCCAGACATAGGCTGCCCCATGTGTTTAATTTGCTAGTGGATGGTTTATTGTGTCTTTAAGTGGACCTTTAGTAGGTTTAAACAAGTTTACAATTCAAAGTCTCCAAGTCTCCAAATGTGGTGTTCCAGTTGTCCAAGAGTTAGGACTATCTACATTTATCTAAGTGATAGGTCAGAGAAATACTTATATATAAACTTTCTAATTTTTCAGCATCTTTCCTGAAGCCCTTTGATGACTTCGAGATGCAATTTTACCCCTAGGTAAGATAAAGGCCCAGGGGAATATAGGTGTAACACCACTTATCAAATATATATATATATATATAGGCGTAGCACCTAACTTCTTCTACTTTTTTCTTCTCTTTACATTTTTTCTAATAATCCTTTAAACACCTAAGAGGCCTCATTAACCACTTTCCAATCCTTAGAAATCCTATGTGACAAGCTATAATCCTTCCCCTTTCAACCAAGCAACTCTAGAACACACACCCATTTTGTTTTGTTACTGTTCAAAGTACCACAACAGCACCAAAACTATTTTTTTTTCCTTTACATGCTTAATTAAAAAAACCCCAAACGTCTCAACCCCATTTTACACTCTCACAAACCCAAAACAGCCATATTTTAGCCACCCTGTTAGCTACGAGATCTTATCACAATCCACCCCTGAAAGCCCCTATTTAACACTGCCCTATATAAAATTATCAACTTTAGCAATGTTCCTTAAACTTGTTCTACATCATATAACTTATAGTATGTCTTCATAAATTTGGAGATTTTAAAAACCACACACGACTCACACTTAATTGGACCAAACAACCACAACCAAGTCTTTTTCCCAACTACTTGGGGTCGGCCTTAATTGGCCCGAAGTCCATAGTTAATTGGCCCCAAGTCCATAAACACGGCAACAATTTGATTCTGGTTAATCGCTAGGAAATGACTGTTGTTATCTAAATTCTCCCAAAATATTGAAAATATACAAGAGCATAATGTTTATAGTCCAGATATGTTACTATTATCATTATTACTACTGCTGCTGCTATTATCAGTTTAAGCATGAATCAACTGATAAATGCATGCTCTGTAGATGTTTTACTCAATACATAAGTATCAAACGCATACATCTATTTAGAAAGACATGTGAACAAGTATAAAAAAGCCAGTAGAATCAATCAAAAAGTAACATTCACAAATTAAGTAGATTAAAAATACCAGACAAAATAAGTGGTTAGGTGGAGAACTAACTAGAGAGTGTAATGCCTGTGGAGGATTAGCATCAAAAGCATTCTGTATAGACGATGTACTGGGAGCTTCTGTTGAAAATGACTCGTGAACAACATCTGACTTTATTTCTTGTTGCTCACTCGTTTCCCCTGATTTGAATATGTCAATTAAGCAATCAGGTTTTGGCCAATTATCGGCAGAAGATTGATCGATCTTAAAGACCTCTGCCAAACATTCCTTAGCAACCTCAAGACTTTCAAGATCAACACCAGAAGCAGGTTCAACTGTAATAGATGAACAACGACAATTAAAAGAAAAATTCATCAACCAAATGAAGCTTCACAAATATTCTATCAATAACGGAAAGAATGAAGATAAATAACAGTACAGTCTAAGTTGTTGTTTCTGTTACACTTTAAAAAATGTATATCAAACCAAATTTGACATCCAAAGATCAATAAAACTGTGAGTAATGATGAATGAGTCGTAATGGGCAAGAGGATCAAAATTTGATTGTTTGCAGTCTCTATTATCTGCCTTGAGGCTCCATCAAACATCAAAAGTAATTTATGCAGTTTAAGTTTTTCAAATTTCAATCAAAATTTGCACCCTAGGCAAGCCAGTGAAGCTGGGAAACTTGAACAAAATTATTGGTGCTCCCATTAAGTAAATCTATCATTTGCTATATATATATATATATATATATATATATATATAATCAATCACTTTTCAATGTCATTTGATTCTAACATTTTAAGGTTCGATTTCATTCATGCATTCACTGAAGACTATCGAGTATATTTTAGGAAGCTCATGGTTAATAAGATAATCTCATACCCTGACCTGGCACACAAACTAGTGCTTTTGGCATAAATTGAAGGTTTTGCAAATGTTAACAACTGCAGTTAGTACACCAACCCAGCTCGGGCTATGATACTGTACTTCATAGTTCACAAGAAACAAGAACCAAGGAGGAGCAAAAAGCAACATGTAATCAACATATCCGATACTAGGACAGAGTGCACAGTTAAATTTGGACATCATACTAAAACTCCAATAACTATGGTCATCAGTCAGAATTCCAAACACTATGATAGTGTAATGCATCAAGAGGCAGGCTTGATTTCATCAAACAAAAGCCTCAGGTTGTTGAGCTTCGCAATTCTACCGAAGTTGAGCTCTAGAAACTCAAAACCCCCGTAGGTTTAAAGCTCAACTTCGGTAGAATTGCAAAGCTCAACATCCCGAGGCTTGTGCAAAATTGAATTCTACATTTTCATTCTTTCTCAAAAAGGGTCTATTTTTATTCAATTTTTCATTCTTTCTCAAAAAGGGTGTATTTTTATTCATAGACGTATTACTAATGCCGGGAGAAGTTTAAAAAGGCAAAAAAAATATATTTAAAAAAAAAAAAAAAACCGAATATGAGTTCTAAAACATATATTGAAAGCCCTAATGTCCAGTTTCAGCAACAATATAAAGACAAACCTGAAACAAAAACGTAGTGCAAAAGCTTAAAATTGCAAGATTAACAAAACTGAAACACGTTGAAAGAATTATTGATGAATAAAATGAGGACATAATAGAATTAACATACAATTATCGAGTAGGAATGAATTGCAGTGATCAAGTCCGTTCAGGTCACATTTATAAAACACACATATATACACACACAAACACATGCGCACATATAACGACACATGAAAGTAGAGAGAGGGAGAGAACCAGAATCGAGGAAGTCCAAAAAGGCGTGGACGATGCGACGACAGAGAGGAGAATCAGTCTTCAAGTTCGCCATTGTGGGATGAAACGAGGGACGGTGCGCAAGATAAGATGGTGCGCACCACGGCGTCAAGCAGATACGAGCGTTTCGAGTCTCTGGAGAGCGATCAAGGTCGTCTGACAGTTTTGTAACCGGAAAGTGTTTGGTTGCAGGCTGGTGTAGTTCGCGAGTGGAATAAGTTTTAGGGTGAAACTCGGAAAAGATAGAAATCCATCCAAAGTCCAACCCAATTAATCAGGTTTTGGTCGAGTAATATTTGATTAGCAAGTTTTGATTGTTTGGTAGGAAGAACGATAGATAAAGAGAGAGTAAGAGAATAGGTAAAAGTAAAGAAGAACGAAAAAATAATAGAATATGGTAGGACCTTTCCTCTATACCTATGACATATTGTCTCCCATAAATAAATAAATACCTATTATATATGTGTGTGTTTTGTCAATTTTAAACCTACGCGTTGATAGGTACTTCCAAACATAACATTACAGTTATGAAATTTTGACTCTAAGATGAATTTTTCATTGTGAAATGGGAAAATTTTTACAAATTTTTTTAAAAGATGCAATGTTGATGAAGGTAGCATAAGGAAATTTTTTTAAAAAAATGCAATTTTCATTATTTGTGTGTATATAATGCATATCCACATACAAATAGAGTTCTTTGCATAAAATGATAGTAGAAGAACCTTGTGTGTGTAACTTTTGGCTTTGAATGCAAAAAATTGCTTTAATACCTTGTCTAATTTGTTTTAGTAGGAGCTCAAAAATAATAAAACAAACTTGTGGATATGAAATACCCATATTGGTATGACTTGCATCATTTTCTAAAAGGGAATGAAGCACACCATAAAATGAACGAGAAACCCAGAAATCCATTTCTATTTATATATTATAGAGGTTTACAATATACCCTTTTCTCATTACTATGGTGCTAAAAACAATTCCCCAAAAACCACATTTAGAGAGCAATAGAGCATATAGCATTTATAAAATAAAATTAATTAGATGAAAAGCAATGAGTTCCAGAAGAAAGCAAGATACATTTGACCCTGTAAATATCCTGTTGTGTGATTAGTCCTTGTTCATAAAAAATACAGACTTCAAATATGTTGCCCTGCTTTTTACAATCAAGAATTCGACGCGCCCAAGAACATAGGAATGCCTGCATCATTCTACGGGGAACATTGTTTGGGTGACCTTTGCCAAAACAACATTATTGCTTCTGCTTTTTGTTGATGTCATAAAGCACACAAGCATCGGCCGCAGTCTTCATCTGAAACCAAAAAAATAATAATATTGAAGTTCAAACCAGTCGAAATCAATGGAACACTATAACACAGGAAGCTACGCAGTAAGACAATAAACCAAGAGACTACTGAGAGGGGTTAAGGAGACAACAGAGTATTTCGTGTGCATACAAATTTTAAAAAGTCTCAGTTCATGAATGCAATAAAAATCTAATACCAATCTTCCCCACGTTGGCTCTCATTCATCTTCCCATTATTTTGCAAATTTCATGGTTGTCAATCCTCGCTAAATATTATCCTCTCAAAAAATATTAGAATATTTGTATACTACATAGCCCATAGCATAGTCTTCCACATGATCAAAATACCCAATTGAGTCGGTACATGAAGGAACCACTATGAACTAATCCTAGTTCGATTGAATGCATCTGAACTCAAGTTCAGGGGAAAATATTAGTGTTCCGTCACAAGTTAAAGCATCGAGGAAACCTCTCCACGCTTTTGGGGCTAAAATTCCAATCCAAGAAAGAATCTCAACATCTATAGCTCAAATGGTGGATTGACAAAGATCAGGCAAAACGCTAGAACTACACTTGTCTTGCCATCTTCGAGATGGTTAAAAGTCATCATCATCCTTACCTTTTTCCCAAATGAATGTGTCGGCCAAATGAATTCTCTTTTCAAATTCTACTCTATTATACAATCGAGGTACTTAATATTAGTATAAAAAAAATTTCAAACAATTCAGATGCCTCCAGAATACAGCAAGATTTTACACAAGTACGACACATTTACTATCTGCATTTCTAATACTAGTGGAGGAAAAATACCTAACTACTTGAATGAATAATCAGATTAAGAGAAGGCACATGGTCCAATCCCCAATCACAGTATTTCTTCATGTACTACCAACTTATCACGTTCGCAATATCTTGTATAAACAAGGAATGCTTGGAAAAAAATAATTTAAAACGTCAAAGCTAACGAATTTAACCATGCCAATGCAATGAACTTTTGACTTGAAGTGACATGTGGAAGCCACAATGAATATTAAGCACCTTAAATATAAACTCTAACAGCAACGATCAACATATGAAGAAAACCTAACAACCAGACCAGCTTTTGCGAAACCAGGTCTCTATTAACTCTATTCAAAGTCTAAATTGTGAGGGAATCATCTTGGTTTACCAGTAGAAGCAGCACTGCTAAAATGAATCGGTAGCAATTCAAAACCAAGTAGAACTCTTGTATTATATTTGAGTCTAAAAGATGTGCTCAGGAAGGAAGTTAAATGCCTCTCTATATTAAGGCAAATCTTTTCTAACATCTTATATACACCAAAAGAAAAAAGAATTTAAATTATCTCATTTACCAATATTTTTCTAAAATCAGTAACAATTTTTATTAATAAAAATGGTTCAACATAAATAATTTTGTTAAATCAACTTAAAAGTACAAGCAATGATGAACATATCCACAACTTTTTTGCACACAGTATGGACCAGTTATAGGAATTTGAACGTTAATATGTTACATTGACAGCAAGTGTGGTGATTTACTGTTCTACAATACCCAAATAAATTCTTAATCATCAAAAAGGATTTAGGTAGACATGAATTCTACAATATTTACGAAGGCATCAATTCTTACCTGTATAACATTCACAGCTTGCTTGGTTGCCCATCCAAACAAAAGTAAAGCAAGCAGAAAAGAAAGGAAAAGACTCTGTCTTGCCGCAGTCACTAAAACCTAAGAGAAAAGTTCACATAAAACCAAAATAACCTGGGTAAATCTTCTAGAATTCAACTAGGAAATTTAAAACCAATAACGAAATGAGGGCTTACGTCGGTCAAATTTTCAGTCTCGTTCTTCGCAAGAAGAAATAAAATTATGTAGAGAACCTGCAGAACCAAAACACAGATCGAGAGAAAAGAATTAGTTATACAAACAAATAATATTTAATTAGGAAGGTTATTCAAAAAGACATTCACCTCACATGCTACACAACAGTAACCCATAAACATTCGGTTCCCGTAGTATGCCTTGAAAAGCCAACTAGTACTGTCTTTTACATCTTTATGACTAGCTTTGCCTACCAAGAAAGTACTGCAACGAAAAACGTGGTGAAAAGAGAAAATAGTTGAAGAATTAAAGAAATAGCAGAAGTCCTCTAGAAGGTAGAAATATATCCTAACTGAGAATTATGGTCAGTTTAAAACTTCAGATCCATTCAGGCCTAAACTTAAGATGAAACATGTTAAACTGAAATCTACATACCTGTACATCTGCAACCAATGGCTAGCGATATCTAAAGCAAACAGTGACAAGAAAATGAAACCAGGCCTGGAAAAGATCATACACAAAACCTCAGATACGCATTAAGTTGTGGTGCAGTTACTACTTGCTACAAGAATGGGTTAAAGCAGATTCTACCTATATACTTGGGAGAGAATAACCAGTAGACAAGCAGTGCTTATCCTGAGACAGAACGCATGTCAATCATGATGGCAGAGTGGGTGATTAAGAATTCATGTGGATAACTACAACAAAATATCATAAAAGTGGCAAGATGAAAATTGTAAAGCAAGAACGTTTTTATAGAAATCACCTATCCGTCACCATGTCCAGAACGGCTCCAAAGGTTGAAACTGCGAAAAAGGAAATGATGAATTAAATGCCATATCTAAGGCATATATTTTTATAAAATTTATTATTTCTGTTTATGAATCATTAATGACAGGCAGGAGTGATACAACTACACATACTAGCCACTGATGCAACCAAACGATAATAATTGCGCTGATTGCAAAATCAATGACCGCACACAGCCACTGGTATGTAGCTGATTTCAAATTAAAACTATAAACCTCTGAAAAGCCCTTGATATGACTAAGAGGCTTCAACTGTTCATACGTCCCATCACAACTAAGAATACTGGCATTGCCCAGTCATGATAAGGGGCCCGAGCAAGAGCCAGAGGCGGAAGGGCAGATATTCTCATAAAAGAAAGAAAGGAAAACAGGCAGGGAGGCAAGAGCGAGAAAGACTAGGTTATAACAACACAACATCTATGGATCTGATGACTGACACCAAAAGTAAGATGAGGTGATAGGATGAGGATAGGATGCAGATGTAGGAAGAAAGTTAAAAAATCAACGCCTAGTACTTCAACTAAAATTTTGATGCAAGCTTGATCACCCAGAGGCAGAAGGGCACATATTCTCATAAAAGAAAGAAAGGAAAACAGGCAGGGAGGCAAGAGCGAGAAAGACTAGGTTATAACAACACAACATCTATGGATCTGATGACTGTCACCAAAAGTATGATGAGGTGATAGGATGAGGATAGGATGCAGATGTAGGAAGAAAGTTAAAAAATCAACGCCTAGTACTTCAACTAAAATTTTGACGCAAGCTTGATCACCCAAGAAGAAAAAAACAGAAAAAAAAACTTCTACTTCAGCTTAAGTTTTGATTCAAGCTTAAACACCTAAATCACAAAAAGGAAAGAAAAAAACAAAAACAAAACCAATGAACGATTTGGAACGACAGGAAAGAGAAAATGAAGAAGACGGGACGGTACAACAGCAGATTCGCTCAAGAAAAGCTAAAATGTCATTGACCCTAAAAAAATTGCGCACTAAATTCCAGCCAAAATATTTTGAACTAACTAGACCGAACTTTGACAGGAACGCTTCAGGAATCTTCTGGTGCCAAGAATGGGCCACTCGATGAAAATCCTCCAGAACACACTACACATTTTCTAAAGTATATACATTAATGTTATTCAAAGGCGTGTCAGACACATCCTAAAGTATCCAAAAAAGCATCATCTACGTTTCCAAAACTAAAACAATTATTCTGAATAATGCATATGTTTAGGAGGTACCAAACACTTATCCGACTACCTTATGAAAAGTATTAGCATCCATTACAGTCTTTATGGATATAGCTCCCTTTTAGAAGTATCCATGCCTCATAAGTGCACTAGCAAGAACTTTGGTACGCGGTACACAACATGATCATTAAATTGTTGTAATTAAGGATTGTAGAGTCTCATGCATAATTGTCAATTTACATACATTCACTGTATTTAGTTATTCCTTTTTCTGCTCAGTCCAAATTGCACCCATGATTGAGAATCTGAGATTATACACATGCACTAATACTATACCTAAGGAAGCCTCTTCCATAGGGTAAAATATCAGACTTGATCAGGACAAGAATCCATACCTTGATTGAATTTGCGAGCAAACCAACCATCCAAGGCATCACAGACAAAGCTGAAACAGCATATTTGAACAATTTAATGCTTACACTCTAGAAGCAATTAGGGCGAAAAACACATTAGTAAAATAAGACAGGTTGTGAAACATGATTTCTCACCTAATAAAATAGAGAGTTGAGAAAAGCTTTTTGTTGGAAAAGCATACGGCAAAGGCAGTGCAATTCATTAGAATTCTTATGTATCCTACATAGCCATATAAGCACAAAGCAATTCAATTAACTCATTTGTACAGTCCTTATGCATTTAACAATCTATATAAGCATAACAACCCATTGAAAGAATATCAAAATGCAAGCAATAAATTCTTACGAATCCTGCATACCAGATAAGCAAAATAACAAGATGAACTCACTGGAAGAATAAAAGATGCAAACAAAAATATAAATATTACAATTCTATTTGTCCTGCACACCCATGTGAACGTAAAAATTTAACCAAAATAACAAGAATCAATAAAAAATGAATATGAATGCTTAGTATACTCAATTCCTATATAAAAGGCCATTGCAAGGTACAACGGTAAAAAGCATTAAGCATGAGAATAAGGGTCCGCGTATGAAAGCAACCACTTCGTGTAAAATAAAGCCAAAAGTAAATCATTCATTCTCAACAAGGTAAAGGACGTGCCCTCTTCTTTTATAATGCTTTCTTATGGCTGCGAGTCCTTACTCCAATCTACCCTCTTAATACCCCACATAGGCAGGATGAAAACTCTGTAATGGCCTTATCTTGAATTCCCATGTAAGCACAAAATGAACCAATAAACTCATTGCAGAAGAATATTTGAAAAAAATATAAAACAAGACTTGTTGTGTATCCTACATACCCAATAATCACTACTAATTTAATGACTTTATCAGTAGGATAACAAGATCCAAACAATTACGTATTGAAAACTTTTCTGCATCCTATATACTCATAATTATATAATTTTTTTTTGATAAGTAAAAATAACATTAAAAAAAGGCGTTCAAGAATACTCATAATTATATAATAATCCAATGAAATCATTTGCAGGACACCAAGATGTGAATAATTACATTCAACCATTTCCACGCTTCGTGCACACCCATATATGCATGTAAGACAGTGAAATGAACTCATCACGCGAGTCAAAAGTGGATGCTTTTCATGACAGATTCTTTCATCCATTTTTGGAGTAAACCTCTTTTAACTGCAATACCAAATTGTGCCAAAAGCACAATTCAACTGAAAAAAAGCTAAGTAGTTTTATGTGTGTGACTGTGTGCGTGCTTGTGTGTGTGCACATGCATATTCCTGATAAGTTCATAACAAGAGCACAATAAAGAAACTCTACCAATGATATTGGGGATGTAAAGGTATACAGCATATTTCCTCCGTCTTGACATGTTGTCCATTGTGAAACCTTTTTCTGCAAATCAGATTGGATAAAACCTATAAGACTATTAGAACTCAATTGACAGTTGCCCTGCATATGATTAATCACATGCCAGAGTTATTTCATCGGTAATAAACATGCACACTCTGAGATATATATATATATATTATATAATATATAGAGAGAGAACATCATTTTGTGACCAAATCCCTCAATGACAAGCAAACCCAGTTCCTTGTGTTTGCCACTCTTAACATTTTTAAGTTTTCAGACTTAAACAAATAAATTGATTTTGTGAAAAAAAAAAAAAAAAAAAAAAAAAAAAAAAAAATTCTACTTTTTAAAATCAAAAACAAAATTAGATGATGAACAATGATGCCTCCTCTATTGAGCATACCAATACATATCTTGTGGGCAGGGTGTTCATTTTGCAACCCGAGAGGTAAACTAAAACTAACATGGGAACAAATACTAAGGAAAGATATTAAGAAATTAGATAAAATGGGAGACATATTCTTGTAATCGGGAAGTGCTAAAGAAGAGAACTCATGTGGTTGGACTCAATTTGAGTGGGATCAAGGCAATAATGATGACGACCATGACAAGTATCTATACAAAAATATCTTATGAACCTTGAACGTACAAAAAGAAAGAAAAAATATGAATTTTCTGTGGGCCATTGAAATATATGTATCATTTTTCCCCTTTAGTTACTTTATTTTACGACCAAAATTATATAGTTTTAGTAATCTTTCATAATTTTGGTTCTCTTTGCAAGTCAATATTGAAACTTCGGCTGGTTACATACTTCGTCCAAGGTGGAAGCAAATCATGGAGCCCATATTAGTTAAAACCAACACCTCTTCCTATAAGTCAGATTTTAAGAACATATTTATCTATGAATAGCCAAGGTTGTTATCAAATTGCAGAGAAGAAGGACAGAACAATGAAAACGATTATTTTTTGATGGGCTAAACCAATCCCAATTAATTAGTTTAACAGCCTTGCAAGGATTTTTTATATGTGTGAAGTCAAGTAAATTATTGATAAGTAGCTCACTCGTTATGCTAAGATTATATAGTTCTAACACATGGTGATGCCACAGAAAAATAGTGGTGCAGAGACTATCTCCTGATAGATTTTGAGTTAAAAGATCTAGAAGCAATGAAGTAACACCTTTAATTAAAATTCACGAATCTAAACCTTTAATTCTCCGTGAACATCCTACATTACCATTACCAACATCCATCAATGACAATATCTGATTTCCAGGTCCCGCCAATGGACCCAAATTACATAATCTCGGTAGCAATGCAGTTTCCCTATTGTAATTATTTATTTCAAATCCAGTGTTCCATCATCGCCATTAATTTGACACTAGTTCAACACATAGTTTCATTGCTAAACCTATTTAGAAATCTTAATTCACCGCTTTAAGATCTATTTATGAAATCAGCCAGAAAGGCCCAACTTTAATTGCAATATTTCCCAGTTCTCTGACACCTACTATAGTTTCATTGCATCCCACATATTCCATAATTAAGCAACTTAATTGCAATATTTCCCAGTATTATGAAACCTTCCAAGTTTTATTAAATGTAAAATAAAAAAGCATTCCTAAAACCTAATGATATAAACCCTAATGACAAATTTCTACAACAAAACTAAATAATTCACGAACAGATGAAGGATTTATGAAACAAAATGAGATCTCCAATACCCACTGTAGAAAAAATCTTAATCTCATAAAAAATTTGAAAATTATCAAAACTTACACACCTCATATGCAATAAAGCACTGGCAAATACTAAAAATTGATATAGCGGCATCAAACTACAAACATGAGCAACATATTACTGTGATTCATCAGAATACAGAAAATAATAGTATATTACAGTGATTCGGGTCATACGAATTTAAAATGCGTGTGTGTATATATATATGATTGTATGTATGTATGTGTTCAGGTTAGAGAGAGAACCAGTATGGTGGAAGTTGAAGCTAGCCTGGAGCAGATATGAGCTTTTGCGACCCTCCGGTAACAACACCACCGGTTACAGTCGCGTCAAGCTTGCCCGATCTTTTTGAGGTGTGACAAACTGCCCACAAAGGCCTCCAAACACTGAGAATTGCAGCGAGATTGGGTTTTGTTGCAGGTTGAAGAGGGACCGACCAGCCTTAATAGGGGTTAGTTTTGAGCACCTCCCATCTTAGATAAGCTTGGAATAAATTACCTCTTTTGCTTTCTCAACGTGTCCAAAATATTCTTTAAAAATCATCTTGTGTTAAATTAAATCCATACAAATCCATAGACACGGTAGCATTTGTGCTTTACGTGTGCCGTGGGGATTCTATTATGCTATGTTGGGCTCACCCAATTAGTATTTTGAATTTGAAATTAGAAAAAAATTAGGATAAATTCTGAACTAAATTTCGTCCATGTTCCAATTCTGTACTCCCAAACATAACATTAATTTATTTTTAAATTATACACAAATTTGGTCTCATTACTTCCATTTCCAATTTCCCAAACTGGTAAATGGTAATGAATAATGATCAAAAACCTAACTTTACCAAGTCTGTCAGAATTATAAATCAATTCAGTTTTGAGTTCACTAACCTTAATGATGCACTGAAGGCCTTAGAAATCAATTCAGTAGAGACCGAGAACTGAAGGCCTTCGAAATCGAGGCTTCAACTCGTACGAAGGGCGGATCTCGGCGGCGACTCGTAACACAGAGGCCAGAGGAGGATAGTGGTGGACCGGTGATCCTGGTGGAGCTGTGGAGAAGAAGTCTCCGAATTGCGATTCGCCAATGATGTTAGGGCTGGACTTAGCATTAGGGCTTGTTTGCTTTGGGGCTGTTTGGCTTGGCATTTTAGTAACGTTGCTTAACTGATTTGGGTTTGTTTGGGTGGGTTAATAGTAATAATAATAATTATAATTATTATTATTATTATTATTTTTATTTCTTTTGGGACTGGGCTGGATAATCCGCCATTGCTCATTAGGAACACAACTAATATGGACTAGAGATGTATCAACATGACGTATGAAATGTTCAAACCTTAATTGTTGTTAATTATTTTTTTTAATTCGGATTGCATTCAGAGTAGTATTTTGATTATTATTCAAGTTATTACTTTAACTTTATCATATAAATATCATGTATCATACTAATTTTATGAAACTTGTAAATTACTTTATCATGTGATTGGTATGCACATATTCTACCAAGGGGATAATTAATATAAAGACTAAAGGATGATGAGCAGTCTCAACTCTTTTTCTTTTCCATTAAAAAAGAAAAAAAATTCTTAACTTCTTCATTTTTAAAATAATTGAATATATGTATAGTATGTTTACAGTAAAAATAAATAAATAAATTTAGAATTTTGGTTCGGTTCCGGTTGCTACAGGAATCCCACCATCAAAAAATACAATCTGTTACTTTCCGAAAAAAAAAAATACAATCTGTTTTTTTTTTTTTTTTTCTTGGCATGTACCTTTAGTAGCATTCGAGTACTGCCCCTTAATTTAATGTGCTTTATAAATTGTTTAAGTACAAAATAAGAAACTGTCTTTCCAACTCATAAATAAATGGGTTATGTGGCTCATTTCAATATTTTTTGCAACCGTGATGGTAAGCTTTTGACTTAGTGTCTATGTTACATGGACTTAGGGCACTATTGCAAGTTTTTGATAGAGTCAATATCATATTGACTTAGGTACGTCAAATACGGGTTTTTATTTATGCATCAAAATGTGTCAAATCTCCGAAACAATGCAGTAAAATTTTTAATTTTTTTTCTCTTTTATAGCAATAATCTCATGTAACATGGTATATAGTATAGGCATTGCATTGGTTTTAAAACAGTTATATAATAAATTTGAATTAACTGATATGCTTTTTAGGTCAATGTCGAAGGGTAAATTGTTATTAAATAAATTCAAGATCAAATATTCATATTTTGAGATCTCATATAGAAAATGACTCATTGTAATCTTTAACCTAGTATTTAATTTTCTAATTATACCTATTGTAAAATATAATTCACATATTCGAGCAACTTTATTTTATTTTATTTTATTTTTGAAATTTCTATACATATAGTAGAGTTTGAATAGAAGGGTATGACAACCATGTGGAATTTTGTTATGCCATGTTTGGTTATATATAATTGGTGCTTTGAAGTACCTTTATCATTGTCATTCTTGCGTTAATTTAGTGGATATAATACATTAATTAAATGGGTGTGCTCGAACAAACTTTGTGAACCTAAAGCTGTTGGGGTTGGGTTTTAGAAATACTGAAGCCTTGAATTTGGCTCTATTGTCTAAAACAGCTTGGTACTTATTATCCAAATGAAAAACCTAAATACTGTGCATTTTCTTCTTCTTCTTTTTTTTCTTTTATTTTTTGTATCATAAAGATAATAATATTAAAATTATAAACTTCAAACGATGGTGAAATTAAATATAAAAATTAAAAAGAGGTTGAGAGTGATTTTGTGTTTAAATGAATGGATATCGGTGGATTTAAAAAATGACTCTTAATTTCATTTCATATAAAAATGTGGATTAATTTTTTATATATATAGGAGTAGTCTTTGGGGACTCCATAAAAACCACGAAGACGGAGTCACACCGCCAGATTCTCTAGAGACACAAGATCGAGAAAGTTTCGCCTATTGGAAATTTTATATATATAAATAATAAAAATTATTTTATGATCCTATGCATTACGTTTTCTAAAATAGGATTGCAATGTGATTATTAATACTTGATGGATTGGGTTTGTACTTTCCAATCTGGTGGTCTAATTGGGAGTATGGTTTTATACCGTTGGATTGTGATTTTCCAACTTATTTGGTATAATTTATTTCTAACCATTAATATTTAAGTTTCCATTATAAGAAGGGAGACTTATATATTCTTGTTTGTAGAGAAGCAGTCCCCCCCCCCTTGTTGTTATATATAAGGGTTTTAAAACTCTTATTCAGACTATCATATCGACCACTCTCAGAAAGGGGTAAAGCGCTCTACTGTTTTGCAGGAACTCACAGTAGATTACATGGATATTCTAAAGGTATATGCGCGTTAATCATCAATCAAGTACTAATCTAAATTACTCTTTAATTAATTAAAGTATTTTTGATTTCTACATGGATTAATTTGATTAAAACCCAACAATTGGTATCAGAGCAATGTTAGGATTTAAATTTTTTAATTAAAGAAATCAAGAGGAGAAAGAATTTAAGATTTAATCGTACCATAAATGCGATACCCCTCGGATCCGAGACACGGGTTGATCAGGCCCAGGCCTAGGCCCAAACTCGAGGGATATCAAACAATTAAGATATTTTAAATCGAACACGGAATACAAAGGGAAATACGAAATAATATAATAAGCTGAAAGAAACTAAAAGAAAATCCTTGTATCATAATTAATCAAATCCGATAATCCAAAACTCCATAAGTTTACAATTCGGGAATCCATCCATTGGACCCCTTATTAAAATTCTCAAACCAAAACTGAAGTAATAGAAATAAAATTCAAAGCTAACATAGAGAAGATTCCTACATAATCGGAGGAATGAATATCTGTATCTGCTCTGCACGTCCAAGCTCTAACCCTGGAACTGACGACCACCTGAAAAATAAAGGAGTGGGTCAGGCCCACATGCAAGTCCTGATCTACTACAATCTAAACAGTAATTCGATACACAGATACATCCTAGGAAGACTCAACAATATCTAGAGTAGTCCATATATGTATATAGTACACACCATAGGACGCACGCTAATCCAGTAGGTCTGTCTCAGCCTGAATAGAAGGCAACATGCAAATACGGACCCTAAGGTGGGCATAAGTACCTAGACCTACCAGGGAACAACACCTATGTCCAGTTATCCATCCTAGGCAATATACGCACCCTAACCATGGTCATGAGACTCAAGCTCATACCACAGCACCATATAATATATATATAAAGTCCGTACTCCTCCTAATACAAAAATACCATCCATCTGTGTAGTGGTCTGATATATGTATAACAAATCCATCATGAAACCATAGTAGGTTATTCAATTCTCAATTGACATGACACAAGTAGGTAATGGACTTAACCTATATGATTAATCCATACCTTAATCCAAGTTAGGTAAAACTTAGTGTTTGAACTAGTCCATACCTAGTATGTCACCGTCTCATACCGGTACATATAATCCTCCAATTAATACAGTTGATAATACAGTAATTAAATAGTTATCAACTATACTCCAGAATATACACAAAATAAATTTAATGCGCGCGCACACACACACACACACACACACACATATATATATATATATATATCACGCATTCAATATAGAGCCCACAATCTAATTCCAGTAATGTAAACTGCTATATTAAATTCAAGCGTTTACATTCTCCAATATAGTCCAAGAATTGATACAGTTAACACAAATTTAAGTATCAATTATACCCAAGCTAAGCATAGGGACTTTTAGTTAATTCTCTATTCTTATAATACTATGAAAAATATGATTATATATATAGTTAAATCATATATAACAATCTTGCTAAGCTCCAGTAAATAATCCTAGTAAATCCTTCAATAAAATCCATGAATTGGTAAAATTTAATAACAATTTAAGTACCAATTAAATCCAAACTAAGTATAGTTGAGTTTAATAAGCCACCATACTTAAAACACTGTAAAACATGATTTATATATATCATTAAATCCTATAATAAAACCTTGCAAAGTTCTGAAACATAAACTAACAAAACAGTGTGCAAATATACCAGTTTTTCATTAATTGTATGTTACTCCATAATTTAATCAAATTTCGAATTAATGCTTTCCATAGTTTTATAAGTCTATTACAATCCCAAAACACTTTTAGTACAGTTTAGAAGACATGCCAAACATTGCACAGTCCAAACCACGCACCAAAACCTTACGGTATGTAAAAACTGGGCAAGAGCAGACTCTAAAAAAATTGAGCCTGCTCTTTTATTTGATTGAGCCAGCTCTAAGGCTGCCAAGAGCCGGCTCCAACATTAGGGAGCCGGCTCTAAGGGTTACAGAGCCGACTCTGTTCCCTTTTTGAGCTTGCTCTCACTCCCTTAGACGCCGTCGACTGCTTCTGTGTCTTCTTCTCCAACTCCGGTAATTAACGGAGCCTCTGTGATGTTTTTAAATCTTTGCTCTAGGTTCAAACTCAGTCCTAGATAAATTTTAAATCACTGATATGCAATGATAGCATGCATAGAACATAGGTTTAGAAGTACTGATCACGGAAACTTAGTCTGAAATTGTAAGCAACCCACAACAGATTAATTTGGTGAATTTAAACACTGTTTTAAGTACTTATTCTAGAGCTCGTTTAATGTCTCAAACTAATCCTCCAACATAGATATATGATCACAATAAGAATTTAACACCAGATTTGAAAACAATCAGCAACAAGATTTTAGTTAATACTTTTAAGCAACACCAAGACAGATTAATACGATGGAACTAAAAACTGATTTAAACATGCATACAGGATCAATCATAATATTCGTATCATCTATTTTAATCTTTGCTTAACCCCT